GGAACTGAGTTATTGGGGATTATTCAATTGGGCCTCATTTTCTACCTCCTCGTTTGCATCCCGTACTGATGGAGGAAGTTCCTTTGGGCGTCAGAAGGGATATGTTTTTTATGCATGATGGGGCTCCCACCCATTTTAGTCAAGTAGCACGTCAGCATTTAACTGAAACATATGCAAATCAGTGGATAGATCGAGGAGGACCACATAATTGGCCCGCTCGATCCCCGGATGTCAATCCTCTCGATTCCTCTACTTGGGGCCATTTACAGCATTTGGTTTATCGTACTCCTGTTCGCTATGTAGAGGACTTGAGAAACCGCATCATCGATGCGTGCAGGGTTGTAAGAGAGACCCCAGGAATATTTGAGCGGATACGTGGCTCAATGCGAAGACGTCTAGACATATGCGTAATGTCTGAAGGTAGACATATTGAACATTTACTATGATTTCTACATGTTGTATGTTTTGTTATTATTATTATGAATTAGTTTCAATTATTGCCCCTCAATCATTTAATGCAGGTAGTAACTACAAAATAACAATAAATTCAGTTAGCATTTATGACGATGTATCTCTGTAGTTTTTTGTAAAATAATTTGTTGATGCGAACTGGTTCATTTTGGGCAAAAAATGCAAGAAACATTTTTTGTTTAGAATGAAACAGGCTATCGGAAATGAATGGTGAACAAATAATAAGACAAAAAGTTACATTGGAAATTGAATTTAGGGGTTGCGTTTTCCACCCCTAACAACCATGGGGAGAACCAAATAAATAATTCATTATATTAATATATTAAATATTAAAGTGTCTTTTTGGTAGTAGAAGATGTCAGGTTAATTTTAATACTGTAACATTTTTAGTGCTTGTGAAAAAAATTGTTAAACAAATTTTATGTACCCCCTTCAAGGGGCTGTAACCTAACATGAGATGCTCCAATGAAGTTTCTTTATATGAAAGATCCTATCCTTTTTTCGATGAGGAATCACCCCCTTAAATGGTTTACATTTATTTAGTTACACCCTGTATACATATGTTCTATCTTTTCTCATTAATTGAGTACCTATTTAATCATCCTTATATTTGCTTGTGAATGCGAATTTTGCTTTCGAGAACTGAATTCAAAATTATCATTATCTGTGTGAAATGACGTAATATATCTGGTCAAATGTCGTCACTTTTACGACGTGTCTAATGTATGGCAATTGAATAACTAACATCTAAAAGATGTCTTTCATAACGTCTAAAAGACGTCATGAAAATGCCGTCATTGGTCTAAGACATTCGTCATTTATGAGTAATCTTGGGTCAATATGCCGTCGCAGATGATCTAAAGTGACGTCAAATTAACGTCAGTGTGCTACCTGGGTATACATCTCCTTTATATTTAAATTTTCATTTCAATACTGAATATATTGTTGAGTTATATTTTTATATCTACATCATATTATTTATCCGATTTGAGAGAGAATGTCAATTATCAATTTCAAAGGATTTTTATAAATGGCATTATATACATATGTATTTTCAACTGGAGGAGAATGCAAATTATCAACTTTCATAACGTCTATAAGACGTCATGAAAATGACGTCATTGGTCTAAGACATTCGTCATTTATGAGTAATTTTAACGTCATATCTTGGGTCAATATGCCGTCTAAAGTGACGTCACATTGACGTCAGTGTGCTACCTGAGTATACTTCTCCATTATATTTAAATTTTCATTTCAATACTGAATATATTGTTGAGTTATATTTTTATATCTACATCATATCATTTATCCGATTTGAAAGAGAATGTCAATTATCAATTTCAAAGGATTTTTATGAATGAAATTATATACATATATATTTTTAACTGAAGGAGAATGCAAATTATCAACTTTCATAACGTCATTGGTCTAAGACATTCGTCATTTAGGAGTAATTTTAACGTCGTATCTTGGGTCAATATGCCGTCGCAGATGATCTAAAGTGACGTCAAATTAATGTCAGTGTGCTACCTGGGTATACTTCTCCTTTATATTTGAATTTTCATTTCAATACTGCATATATTGTTGAGTTATATTTTTATATCTACATCATATCATTTATCCGATTTGAAAGATAATGTCAATTATCAATTTCAAAGGATTTTTATGAATGACATTATATACATATGTATTTTTAACTGAAGGAGAATGCAAATTATATACTTCAGTAGATTTTATTTTCAAACTCATATTGTGTGCGTTCCATAAAAGTAATTCAATGTTCATCGTGGCATATAGTCAGAAAAGTAGTTGTTTTCTGTTGAATAATTACTATTTTTATCAAACAGAGAATGCGAATTCTCAACATTTTTCTTCATATACACAGTGTGTTCGATTTCAACCCGCCACAGCCTCCGAATTTGGAACCCGTCGACCGATTTTCAAAATCAAGAATTCCAGTCAACGTGCTCTCTTCAAAAATGTGGACAAATCTGAAATATTCAGATTTTCAAGGACTACTTTCGTTTGTTGAGAGGGTCAGAATTTCAAAAACAATTCGGTTGAAATACACTCTGCAATATCTCATATAGGGTGTTAGTTAATCAATGTTAAATTTTGATATATTTTATTTTTCAATTCACCCTGTTTCAAAATCTACGGAGTTGAAATAACCGGTGAAGTATAGTCATTCGATGGAGGAACTCACCAAATACTTGGATACAAAATTTCATGGATGTAACTTCTACAGGAAGATTTCTCTAGGTCATCCAAAAATTAATTGAATTGAAGTTGATAAATTCTGTATTATGATCCATAACTTTTTTTCCTGAAAATATAAATAATAGTAACTAATTCGAGGAAATATTCTCCATACATAAAAAAATATTCAATGTCATCTGCTTCCATTTCGCCAAAATTTGTTGATTATTATGATCAGTGTATCAGTATATATCCTTGGAGTCTTTGGAGAGTGTTTGTCTGTCATTCCATATTTGTGTCATATTTGACAGCTCTGTATCAATCAAGGCGATTTTCAAAGTTACTGTGTGGTGAAGTGTGTAAAAACTGTTAACTTGAGTTTTCAAAATGGCGAACCTCAATTTCAGTTTTATTCCTTGTTGGTTGACCTAGAAACACTAGAAACATCTTCCTGTAGAACTTACAATGATGAAACTCCCTATCCGACTATTCTATGTATTTCTTCATTGAATAACCACCTCACCGGTTATGAGAACTCCTTTGATTTTATTACAGGGTGGATCAAAAAAAACAAAAATTCTTAAATTTGCCATTGAATAACTAATACCCTATATACGGTTCAGCGTTCAAATTTTGTATAGAGGTATTCCAGCTATTCCTGAATCGAATAGGCTAGTCACTGATTCGAAAATAAATTGACTGTCGTTTTTTAAACAAACGAAACAAGGCCTTGAAAATCTTAATATTCCAGATTGGTCCACATTTTCGAAGAGTCTCGTTGACTACTATATTATGGAATTTTTGTTTTTGAAAATCGGTCGACGGGTTCCAAATTAGGAGGGTGTTGCGGGTTGAAATCGCAGACAATGTGTATATCCACTTATTTCATGATCATAATATTCCCTTTCGATATTGAAATCAATAGTGAAATCTAAATACATGAATCTCAAGACTGTCGGCTGTATCAATAATGTAGGTCTATCAATTGATGATGACCTGGGACTATAACGTAGAGATTATGCCTTGAGAGTTGAGACAAATAAGTTATCTCATGATAATGCACAATTCGAACGTTTGAAATATCTGTTGAACATTCATAATTTGAGAATACTACATTTTGATTTCGCTTTTAAATCCGTAGACAAAAAGTTTATAATTTTTCCAGGAATTTAAAAACACTTTAGTCCCGAGGTGTATTTACTATTTTATGCACTTTAGGGTAGGTGAAACGTTAAAGAAAAAATAAAGCGAAATTAAATGCTACTAAACGGTAGTTTCTCTATTTATTTTCTAAAACATCAACGACCTCAGTAACTATGGTGATCCAAATCATGATTGTCATCGGCAACTGAAAATCTTGGTGTGTTATGACAAGTAACTAAGTAAAACATAAATAAATAAATATTAGTCAAACACGCCACACCGATTGAAAACCGTTGACCGCGAGTGATCTCGATGGAACCAATCGAAAATGCAGCTCAAGAAGCTGAAGGCCAATTATTACCAAGAAAATCTGGAGAACAATATAAAAAAACATTTATCTGAGTTCATCAAATGGTGCAAAGAACGGAACGTAGAAAAATGTACCACAGAAAAGGCACTGCTAGCATATTTTTTTGAGAAGTCAAAAAAGCTAAAGCATCGTCATTGTGGAGCGTATATTCGATAATAAAAGCCACAATTGCAACAGAAATTTTAAATATACATTTCTAAATTCAGCTTTTATTGCAAAGAATCCCTAGCGATTCAAAGCACCACTTTTTCCCCGAAAATAGGGAATGAAGGTACCCTTCAAATCCCTGAAGTGCATAAAATATATTCAATGCCACTCAGTTGAACGCAGTGAGACAAAGTAAAAGAGTTCACTCATTCATAGTGGCTAAAATGAATCTATGTAAATATAATAGCAATCAATATATTCTCATTAGAGCCTACGATTGAATCAGTGCATTATATATTTGGAATCAGTTGATCCTAATGGTAACAAATACACATAACTATTATTTATTACAAAATTTCATGGAGTAAATCGATACATCTCAGCTGGTATTGATGTATAAAAAATACCAAGAACAGAAATATGAATCTAATTATTATTTACTATGCTCTAACTGATTCTCTTTACTGATTTTTACCATTCAAATGAAACTTAAGGAGATACGAACTTCACATTCATAACTATCATTTTCGTAGTTTTCAGCCACATTTGCGATTTTGTGATAACTATGTGAGTAAGGAAAAGTGAGTCATAACAGTAAGCCTAAATTTAAAAATAGCAAGAAAAAGACATAAGCTGTAGAATTAAATCATAAAATCAAGAGGGTACTTACAAAAACATCATTTCATGCTGTGATAGAATGTTACTCATTTTCATAAGTGATCTTCGAATGGATAAACTAAAGAAACAAAAATATAAATAAATATTACAAATTATTGAGAAAATAATGCTATGCAACTAATATTGTGTTGAGTGAAAACGGGAATATGAACTACTTAATATAAACTACTCAAATAGGTGCAACATTCAAGTGTTGTGATAAAATCTGTTTAAAATACGTCAAGAGACGCTACCTACTGGTCAACAATAGAGAAAAAATCGATCCGAAAAGTAAATAAGGTATGTTATAACTACTTTGTAGTTTGTACCCAATAGGCCAGTGGACTATTTTTTTCTCATTTCTTGAATGAAATTATCACTCAAATACCTTTCAATTTCATATTTTTTAAGAATTATTCGGTCGATTTTTAGGTGCTAAAATCATCAATAAAGCCACGGTTATTTTCAAACGGCTAGAAATTTACCGCCAGTGAAAACTGACGCCACGATTTCGTAAGTAGGGGCAAACCATAGCACAGTTGCCATGTGTTGAAATACGATTGCGAACTTGAGAAATATTAGTTATTCAATAATTCATAAATTCCCAATTGAGTATTGGTAATATTCCTAATTAGCAATGAAAATTCAATTGTCTCGAAATGTTCCTTTATGAATTGTGACTTATTGCGTGTAATGAATTTGTGTAAATAATAATTATAATAATTCACACTAGAGGACATTTCAATCGGTGGACGAAACAACACGGCGCACGACTTGTGGACGTGGTCTTGTTAGTTCTCAGCATTCAGCACAAAGTTGCCAAATCTCCAACATTTGCATGATATTTTGTTATGGAGAATAAGAAATATTTGGACATGCTGGTTGCCAGAAACAGTCGAGAATGAACTATCATGGGTTCCTCCTATTATGTTTCATTCAACGACAGGACTCTAACATCTTTTTGATAACTTGATTATAATTTGTGACCTGACAATCTTGCTTCATGAGTGGAAATCGAAGATTATCTGACCAATAACGGAACAGCATAAAAACTGACGTCACCATTTATTCGACGTATCGCCAAATGGCAGCCATGAAGGTACGTTTGAAATGACCTCTGAAATTTAACAATTTTTATGGTAGTAAGACAAATCAAATGATTGCATGGCCGCAAAATGTGCGTTTGAATTTGTTTTATCAGGAAACCTAAAAGCAAAATTTAATCGTTGATCAGTGACACTTTGTTTTGAAAAATGTTTGAAGAAGAAATATAGATACTTATATTGAAAGAAAAAAATTTAATTATCACTTCTTGGTATTTTTTAAACGCAGGGATATTTTGGGGCAAATCATCTGATGTGTCCTACTACAAGTATATTGAAATAATACTCATATTTTTTTATAGAAACGAGGAGAGAAAATCCCAAATGATCAAGCAAAACGTGTTTATTACAAAAACGTTCAGAAATAGTTGAATGAGGTGTTTATTCTCGTGTTCATTCGTATAATACCAAAATGTTGAAATGAAAAAGGTATTCTTCAGATCTATAATTCTTATTCCTATTTTTTCTCGAAATTCTAAATTTACTCCAATGCAACTCAAAATGTCTAATTCAAGTAATTTTCAATTCAAGTAAATGCATTACATTTCATTCAAGTAATCATCAATTATACACGGGGGTTCACAATTGTCTCACGACGCTGACAGTACCCACGTCTACAACGCCATCATATGGAAGTTATCAGTTCTTGGGAATACATCTCTCAGCCAAGAATTCCAACATTTTGCCTATCCAGACAAGCAAGTTTGATAGAGAGTCGTTCGACAAACATGAATGACACTTAGATAAGAATGGGGATCTCGGAAACCATGATATGAAGATGGTTGAATTAGAGAAAATATATATATTTTTTTTATCGTCTGTCCATATGGAATCGATCGTCTGCTCTTCTTTGGTTCATATATTTCAATCGACTGATAATACACTGAAAAAAATGGAAGTGCTAACTTATGACTTTTGACTCGTTTTGAACGCCGTCTGGTTTGAAAATGCGACCGCATCCACTGGCAGACGCTTAGGTTCTTGATTAACTACATAATACCAATCACTTAGGCGCTATTTTCATCCTGGTAAAAATGAGGCGCTTCTAGGGCGCCAAATTTTACTCCTGGCTCTTGGTCTTCACACTGTTCAATGAGGTACCTATGTCTGGAGAAACTATGACTTGTACTGCCTATTTAGAGTAGGAAGATGAAATGAACTTGTGTTCAATAGATTTCGTGATAAATTAATTTCTGAAGGTAATAGTCCAAGAGCCGCCTGCAAATTTGCAAATTGAATGAAAAATTGCACTTTCCTGTGCGGAAATTTGCACTCGATTTCGCGATTTGATAACGGGATGAGAGTTATGCCATTGGATAACAATTGAATGGTAGATTTCAAAACCCTACCTGTGCCACCCTCAGTCTGAGCCAAATCCAAGGCTCAGCGAAGTATTTGCTGCTATTATTCCGGGCATACTTCCGTCATGTGATAACGAGTTGAAACAAAAAGCAAATAAAAGAGGATGATGTTGCCTTTGCGAATATCCAAAAACGTACTCAAGCTTTAACGACACTAAGCATAACACTTCCTAGGCAAAAATGAACAAGGGAAGAGAGAACCATGTCATGAAACTGAATTATTTAGAAAGTTCAACAAATATGTACCTTGACTTTGCAAATAGGGCAAAGAAGAAGAAAAAGGGTGAAAATAAAAACAAAAATCACAGTGTAACTTGGATAGCGAGAATAATATCTCCACAAGTTATCTGTTCTGAGCCAGTGACATAAACCCTGAACAATTATGAAACCCTACATGTTATGTGAATTTATTAGAACCAATTCTTGTATGTGAGCATGAATAAATTAAAATGAATTCTAAATTCCACCAGTGGGACATCAAATCAGGGCAATTAGTTCAGAACTAGAAAGACAGGGTGTTATCTAAATTCAAGTGTAGTTGTCTATCCAGTGCCAGAAGGTAAGAGTATATTTCTCTCAGATGTATAATTTCTGTTTTTTCATGTATGCAATGAGACTCTTGAAAAATGAAAGACATCTCTAGAAAATTCCTTTTTGTATGGTTGCTTCCTGTGGCAAGAACTTTAGCTAATTGATAATCCATATTATGGCTGAAGCCACATAAAGCAACCATACAAAAACCTTGACAAAAACGAATCTTCTAGAGATGTCTTTTATTTTTAAAGAGTATAATTGCATGAATAAAAAAACAGACAAAACATAATGTAAATGTTGGCTAGTCTAGAGACTTGGCAATGCTGTACTAAAAGCTGAGAAATGCCGAGACAACGCCCACAATCCTGTGTTGTCATGTTTATGTACTGAATTAATATTATTATCAACACAAATTCATCATATTATGCAATAAGACACAACATATAAAAGGGAAAATTACAAGACAATGAGTTTTTGATAACTTATTAAAATTATCACCAATACATAATTATTGAGAATTTATGAACTATTAAATCAATACTATTTCTGAAGTTCCAATTCCATTTTCAACATATATTATGACTAATTAATGAAATCGTTGAGACAGTTATCATTTGCAGTAAATGTATAGCCATTTGAAAATTATCATAGCAATATTGATGATTTAAGCACCTTGGAATAGATGGAAAAAAATCTCAAAAAATAAATAGTTCATTGAGTAATGATTCTATTAAAGGAATAAACAAAATAGTCCAGCTGCCTATTCTTGACCAACAAAATTTTGTGCCTTATATAGATTATCATAATCCATTAAAGGAACACATTTATAGAAAAAAATCCCATCCACCTGTATTTTCAAAAGTAGATTTTTTTTTAATTTCAAAAAAGGGGCTCTGTGGGGTTAATTCCTGCCTGACAAAATATTGTGAGATATACATATCATCAATTATTATTAGAGGAACACATTCATAGAAAATCTGAAAAAATATGGAATTGGGAGGTAATTGAGTAATAATTCTATTAATTGAATAACAAAAATAATCCACTAACCTATTCTTGACCAACAATATTTTGTGAGTCCTATAGATTATCAAGTCCCATTAGAGGAACACATTCATAGAAAAACACATGCACATGTATTTTCAAAAAGTTATGATTTTTTACGAAATTCCCAAAAAGGTGTCTTCTGAGGTTATAGTAGAGTGCCAATCGAATCCTATCGTTCACCCCGTGGGAAATCGGAGGTAAAAAGCTGTGACATGGTTAGAATTGTTACCTACCATCTCCAGATCATGGATCCACTTGTCGTCAAAAAATCGTCCTGTGCGTTTGGGGGGTAGGGGGTAATTTATAAAAAAATATGGATTTTTTTTTTATTCGTGGAAAATATTTATGGGTTTCAGAACTTCCACCCTGTTAAATCTTGATTTCGTGTGAAAAGTAGAACAAATTATAGAAAACTTTGAAATTTACTAATTACATTACGATATATGAGAGAATCATATTTCAAACGCCTATAACTCAAAACTTGTAAATTCTCGTTAAATTGTTTTTCATATACCTCGCATTATCTCAGTAACTACAACGTTTATCAAAAAAATACTTCGAATAATGTCGATGCGCCTATGTTTCAAGATGCGAATGGTTCTTCGATTTTGAAAATCGAAGCATAAATAAGGAAGATATTGAGAAAATCATAATGCAATGCAGGTACTACGGACGATCGCGTTTCGCCGCAATCGTACCCCTATTCTCCCCGCAATACCCGCGGCTATCATGGTTCCATACGCTTTCGTTATTTATTCGATATTTGGTACTGTGTGCACTGTTTCAATAATTAAATAAGTATTGATTAGTTAACGAAATCTATTATTGTGAATTTACCATAAGATATAATATGTTTCCCTAGATAAAAGATGGAAAGTACTAGCAATTCAGACACTGATCTTGAATATGTCTTGAAGTTGAAGATTCCTTTCCAGCAGAGTACAGAATCATCGAGAAAATGTTTAATTTGTGGAAAAGATGGTCAACTTCTTCGTTGTACAGAATTATCGATGAAAACATTTGAAAGTTGTATGAATATAAGAAAAAACCTCGGAAAAAAACTATGCGAGGCAAATCGATATGGAACTCCAGAGAATTGATGAAATTCAATGAAAATGAAGGTCGATTGATCTTCTGGCACAGGAATATTGAAAACTGTAGACAATAATGTCAGGAATAAAACGCTTTCTATAGTTAAATTGATGTGAAGGTATTTTTGATGTGTCTAAAAGAATTTTCTGCCAAAAACGTTCAAATAAGAATCAAGTTCTGACCTAGTATTGACTACCAACATTGTTAATTGCCATGGAAGTCAAGTATCATAACCAATGCTTTGTATCGAATTGGAAACATTATAGAGGATCACTGTGTGAGAATAAAGTTGTCACACCACACATGACAAAGAATTTGATAATCTGATAAAATTAATAGATGGTGCAGATTTTCTAATGAAAAAGGGTATACTTTCAACTGTTTATATAAAAAATATGCCGAACTTGGTGGCAAAATTGGTAGGAAAATCTCAATCGAAGATTACTTACTGTCTGTAGGTTAATCGAGAAGGTGAAACATTCATTTTACTTGATTTTTTGGGATTTTCTCTCCTCGTTTCTTTGGACGGTTCGGCAACGAATCTGCTTCCGTTCTCAACATGAAAATGCAACTTCCGAAGAACAATGTTTTGCATTTTCATGTTGGGAACGGGAGCAGATTCGTTCCCGAAACGTCCAGACGAACGAGGAGAGAAAATCTAGAAAAATCAAGTAAAATGAATTTATCGAAGAAATCAGAAAGCACTACGACAAGGAAATAGACATTATCAATGAATCAAAACGTTTTAATGAGTCGTAATATGTGATTCCAAAAGTGACAAAAACTCATCTGATTCATACACATATAAAGAACAAAGTGAAATTACAGAAGATAACTCCCCTGACTTTGTAAATGCATCAGATATGACCCAGATACACAAATCGAAATTTTTTTGAGATATTTATCAAGATATGAGATATATTCCAGATTATGAACAACTCAAAAATATGGATGTCAAGGCTTACAAGGATATGATACCAAAAAAACTTTTTTAAATTAGTTGCCTTATACACGATAAAGTTGATTCAGTTGATTCAAAGGTGTTCAGTATCACAGTATCTGATGTCAAGGAATAATACTCGCTAATTCGAAATTCAAAAAACTCACACCGAAACACGTTGGTTTGGGAATAATGATTCATCAAGAGACATGATGGCAAAAAATTATCGTAGCTTTGTGTTCTTGTGGACACTGTATCGTATATTTACGTGTATTTACAACTTCGCAATTCGATAGGTATCAAATAATGTTTTTTTTCAAGTTTCCACATGGATATCTTATTTTTATTTCAATATCATATGCATCATGTTTTGTTTCAATATTTGTCAATTTGTTAATAAATGAGATGGTTGACATTTTACTCTGATGGATAATAAATGTACTTTCGAGATAGAATCATTCAAAAAATGAATGGAGGGCACTTCCAATCAAACAGCAAGTTAAAATAAATTTCTATTAACTTGGAAAATAGCGATCAATTCCATTTCTCCCGTGAATTCCAAGATCGTACTGTACTGTAACACTCAGTATTTCATATTTACGGTGATCGTACTAGGACGGCTGCGGGCGTTGCGGGGAGAATCGGGGTATGAAAGCGGCGAGTCGCCGTCCTTCGTACTACCTGCATTGGATTATGATTTTCCCAATATCTTCCTTATTTATGCTTCGATTTTCAAAATTGAAGAACCATTCGCATTATGAAACATAGGCGCATCGACATTATTTCAAGTATTTTTTTGATAAACGTTATAGTTACTGAGATAATGCGAGGTATATGAAAAACAATTTAACGAGAATTTACAAGTTTTGAGTTATGGGCGTTTGAAATATGATTTTCTCATATATCGTAATGTAATTGGTGAATTTCAAAATTTTCTATAATTTGTTCTACTTGTCACACGAAATCAAGATTCGACAGGGTTGAAGTTCTGGAACCCATCAATATTTCCCATGAATAAAAAAAAATCCATATTTTTTTATAAATTACCCCCTACCCCCCAAACGCACAGGACGATTTTTTGACGACAAGTGGATCCATGATCTGGAGATGGTAGGGAACAATTCTAGCCATGTCACAGCTTTTTACCTCCGATTTCCCACCAACTTTTGATCTAAGCGACTTACGGTTCGTTTGGCACTCTACTATTAATTCTTTCCTGGCAAAATTTTGTATTTTGAAACAGGTGGTGAACTGTGGGGTTGATTCTTGCCCCACAAAATATTGAGATGTATAGATTATCAAGTACCATTAGAGGAACAAATTCATAGAAAAAAAACTCCCATCTCAGAATTCCAAAAAAGGGGCCTGTGGGGTTACTTCTTGTCTGACAAAATACTGTGAGATATATCAAGTTCCATTAAAAGAACACATTCATAAAAAAACTCCTATCTATCTATATTTTGAAGAACTTATGATTTTTTGTAGAAATATCAAAAAAGGAGTACTCTGAAGTTAATTCTTGTGGGACAAAATATAGTGAGATATCACATCGTCAAGTACCATAGAGGAACACATACATAGAAAAAATCCTCCCATCCACATGTATTTTGAAAAAAAAATGTATTGCCCTGTGGGGCTAACTCTTGCTGAGCTCTTGCAGGACAAAATATCGTGAGATACACAGATTATCAAGTTCCATGACTGGAACAAATTTATAGAAAAAAACTCTCATCCATTTGTATTTTGAAAAAGTTGTGATAATTTTTTTTCAAAATTTCAAGTCAGGGGCCCTGTGGGGTCAATAATTGCCTGACAAAACATTGGGAGATATACATATTATCAAGTACCATTAGAGAAACAGATTTATAGAACTCCCATCCATGTGTTTTCTGAAAAATTTATGATTATTTTTTTCAAAATTCACAAAAATGGGCCCTGTGGGATTGATACTTGGACAAGTAATTGCTGGACAAAATAATGTGATATACAGATCATCAAAGACCTTTAAAGGAATAGATTTATGGAAAACCCTTTCATCCACAGCCAGGAGTATGAAGTAGTGATAGATGACCATTACGGTGTATGTGTATAATTCAGGAAGTGGTGACTGGAACTCATGGCTGGTTTCAAACTGATGAATAAGTAATCCAAGATATGAGGTTATACATTTGGCTCTATGGTCCAGACATATTCATTATCATATAATAAGTACTTGAATAAGTAGGTAGTTGATTTTTACTTTATGAAAATAATAATTTCAGAAAAGGATATAGGTACCAATCCTTAAAAAAAATTCACCTGCTCTTAGTTATTGCTCTTTTCAGTTCTTTTTGCAAGCTTAATACTTTAGCATTAGCAGCTTCATGCTTCACACAAGCAATTCTATGTTCAGTTTCTGCTATCCCACGCTCTGTTTCTGCATCATTAACTCTCTGAGTTGCATGATTCAACATTTCTTGCCAAGCAGGATCTAAAAAGTTGAAATGAGTATTTATTCAGTTGATTCAGTATTGATAGTATATTTAGTAGAATTCAAAGGATTTCTAGAATAATGGATGAATATTTCCAATGTGGATTGATGCTGACCAAGTGTTCTCCCACCAAGGCCTTGTTCTGCCAAATAAACCATTTCTCTAGCTGCACTATGAGCACTATTAGCCTTCTCAAACTTCATAGCTGCAATCTGTGTTTGTTTGAATACTTCACTGGTGTAAAACCTAGCTTCATAATAGGGCCTAGATCTCTCCACACACATCCCTAGCTTGAGCCTAATTGCATCAACCTTTGCTGTACTCTCACAAAGTAGCTGCCTGAAACTTGTTTTACATTCATCAAGTTCCACTTCTAGCTTGTTAATTTCATCAGTAGCATTGTTCAATCTCTCCAATTCTACATGTACCCTAGGATCTACTGTATCAGTATAATCTGATGAATGTTCACACATGATGATAATATGAATAGGTATAACTTTCATTAATTTCGAAATTCATCTTCGGCAGTCAAGGTTCATAGTTTTCATGATGACATTTGTTTTCTTTAAAGGATTTAAATGAAATATAATTATATTTGTGGTTATTCTTGCATTTCTACTTTCAACTTTCTAGTTGAATGTATGACAGTATTGACACTATTGACAGTTTCGTTTCAACTTCAAAATAGAGATGGGTCTATATACTCTCGATGGGCCGATATGCGATATTTCCAAAGATCGATATTTTCACTTTTTGATCATTCTTGTATGGAGTGCCTTTTTACTTTTTAATATACATTGGATCGAATGTATGGCAAAAATTGTATTTTTGCAATAGTTTGCTGCAGGAATTGACATTTTTACAATACTTGAAGGGCAACGTATCGTAAAAACTGTTATTTTTGCTACACATTGCGGCAATGTATTGCAAAAATTGGCATTTTTACAATACATTGCCACTATGTGTTGCAAAAATGAAACGTTTTTACAATACATTGCCGCAATGTGTTGCAAAAATGAAACGTTTTTATAATACACCAACTTGCAATGTATGGTAAAAACGATGGTGAGCTACACTACAAGCAATGTATTGTAAAAATATAGTTTCTGCAATACATTGCTTTCAATGTATTGCAAAAACTGATTTATACCATACATTAACTAGCAATGTATTGTAAAAACAAACATTTGAACAATTCATGTATTGAAATAATTGATATAGCAAAATTCATCAAATGCAATAACCCATTTTTGCAAAACATTAAGCCTCATGTATTGTAAGTAAAAACATGGTAAAAACTGAAACATCTTCTTTTTTTGGCCTGTGGACCTCTATAGCAGAGAGTCCAAAGTTTAAAATAATCACGGACTTGTGACTTCATCTACTTTGAAGCCTTTGAACGAGAAACGGGTACTTATTGCTCATTGAGATTATTGAGAACTGTTGAAGATAGTCGATTAGTCGTACATCATACCATTCCTCTAATATTTTAATTCGCCTTTTATGAAAGGTAAGATTAAAACTGTTAGTTTTCTCTTCACACCCTTATGCCCTTTAGTTATTATTATATAAAACTGTCAAAATGGTGAGGTGAGTTTACCATCACATTCATTTACCTTTACAATGGCCTACATCCACCTTTCTAATTTCTTAGAACACTACTCATTTAGAAGCTATATATACCTATTTCAATTTGTACAAGAAAAATAACTCATTTCCATACCAAGGGGCAAACAGCTCATGGAACACCTCTGTAATTGTAAAATGTTTGCAAATGTCCCTCACTTCTATCTATCAGTACCAGTACTCGAAAATATTTAAATACAGATTATTTGAATACCTTTTTTATTTTATACATTCTCGGAATTTTGATAAATCTTTTTTGTTTTTGACTTTTGACATCTGGACATCAAGAGCACAGAACTCAAAAATATTATGCATTCTATGATTTAAGATAAGTAGAGAAGAAGAAAAAGATAATCGAAACTAGATCGAAACCTGAAAATCAATCTGTTGCAAAAACTCATTTTTGCAATACATTAAGCTTCATGTATTGTAAAAACAATAGATAAAGACTTAAGTTATCGCAAAAATGTATCTCATCCACTGTCATGAAATTTTATGTATCGCGAAAATTGCTTTTTTACAATACTATGCTTTCAATGTAGCGCAGATTATCGGATTTTACAATAGGTGTTTCTACAATACATGCATCCTAGTTTTCCTAGTATTAAAAAGTAAAAAAGACCTCCATATTCTTGCAACAATGAACTTCTTGCAATCGACTAAATTTTTTCTCCATATTTAGCAGACAATGGGACAGGTCATAGCTGCCTTCTTTTTTAATGATCTAGAGACTTAAGTTTTGTCTACTGGTATCCCTGACATTGCTGTCATGTCACATCCATGGGCGCTACTGAAAATCAATCTAAATTTCAATAATAGGTATGTACAGGGTATTTACTTGTTGAGGAATATCATATGGCGAACGAATTCAAAATTGATGGAAGATATCTGCGGGGTTTTCCGGGGTTTGAGATGATGATTGTTTCGTCATACTTGCAAAATTCAAGATTACGGATCCAATATATACCGAAAGAAATTTCTAATTATGATCTGATTCCATTTAAGATTGGTATCTGGGGATTTTCGGGGCTGAACTTTGATTTTTTGTCAAAATTGGGAAATTCAAGATAGTGTATCCAATGTGGCGAACGAATTTTGTAATTATAATCCGATTCTATTCAAAAATCAAAATTGGCATCTGGGGATTTCGTGGGTCGGAGATTATATTTATCTTGTCTTTCGTTACTTTCATCAATAACTTATTCGAATATGACTTGTTATTCAAGGGAGACGGAAAAATCAGGTAAGGTATATTCTATTCTTTATTTTCCTACACATTTAACTTTTTATCAGCCTACTTTTCGTCCTAGACGAAGTTTTATACATAGTGTGATATTATTAACTCCATAGATTCTTCTCAGAGTTGGATTTCCGAAAATATATTCAGCACACATGACATGAGTACATTAGTTCAGATACTCACATCGAGGTTTCCACCATTTCTCGATCATAATAAGGATATCTGCTTATTTAACTCATAGATAAACTACTGCTCAGCTTGAAATCAGAATTCATTCAGTCAATTCAGTCAAACCTGGTATACAGTCTAAGAACAGTCTCTTTTGGTGAAATATATCAAGCTTTCGGTACAATTTATATGTTCCCTGCCTCGCAAAGATTATGCTGGAGTGGTAAACCCACAAACTAGAGGATTGTTCATCTATATCTTGGTATAGTTGAATCAGGAATTCCATATGGAAATTACGTATGATACGCCAGTGACCTCAATATAACCTAAAGAACAACGAATGCCAAAAATCTAGTGTTCATCCCCAGAATTGAATAAGGATGGATCTATATAACTGTTTCACAAACACTTTAGAGTGAGAGGAGACGAGAATCTGTCCGTACCCTGTTAAGATGACTTTGTCATTTTTCCTCGAATCTAACCAGACAAACCAGGTTAACTTTATGATGACGTCACGGTAGCCTTATCATGACGTCACGGTTCACTTTTGAAGCTTGACAGATGTTAGTTTATTTGCTGTTTTTGTTTATTGTTTGATTCTAGTAGTAATACTGATACATTGAATAAGAAATTCATCATCTGTGAAAAAAATATATCGAAGATAGGAGCTACTTTTGGCACCAACATTATTCCTGCTTCATATCAATGATCTGTTGGGAGTAACAACTTGCCCCATCCACAGCTTTGCAGATGATAGTACCCTCCATACTGCGTTCTCTTCTAGAATTCCCATTTCTTCCCAGGAAACTAAGAACTCACGGCGCAGGCAGGTCAATGCTGTCAATGAAGATCTTGCTGAAATCACAGCCTGGGGAACAAACAACCTAGTTGAATTCAACACCACCAAAACTCAAGCCTGCATTTTCTCTAGAAAGGCGGAACTCAGTATGCCCGATATTGTAATGTCTGGCTCCACCATCCCCACCAAGCCCACCATATCTATGCTCGGTATTTCCATCAGCAACACTCTTTCATGGGATAATCATGTCAGATCCATCGCAAAAGCTGCTTCACAAAAACTCGGATTCTTGTTCCGTGCGAAAAGCTACTTTACACCTCAACAGCTTCTCATGATCTACAAAGCGCAGATACGGCCTGTTCTAGAATACTGTTCCCACATATGGGGTTCAGCACCAAAACATACACTGATGCTCTTAGATTCCATCCAGAGAAGAGCCATTCGCCTGGTGGGTGACGCCACACTCACTCACTCTTTGACATCACTGGAACATCGTAGAAAGGTCGGCGACCTTTCACTTTTCTATCGATACTTCCACGGGAAATGTTCTTCGGAAATCTCTGCTATCATCCCTTCACTAGCAATACCAATCAGACGAACTAGACAAGCCCAGTCAGCACATCCTTTCGTTGTCAACCTCGAAAGATGTCGAACAGCACTTCAACAATACTCCTTCATCCATAGAACGGCTAGGCTCTGGAATTCATTGCCTGTGGAAGTATTCCCAACAACATATAATCTCCAAAAGTTCAAAAAAAATTCCAATACCTACCTCCTGTCCCTATCCTCCCAAGGAACGCACGATGTTCTTTGAACATTATAGGGATTCCCTTTCGTGCGCTCCAAGCGATAAAAAAAAAAAACTTACCTACTACAACAATTCGCTGCGTACACATATTTACAATGAATCAAATATTTATTTTCATCAATATGATGAGATCTTTCATTGAAAAATACTTCGAATGAATCCATATAATTATCTCTTTAAGTATTAATTATTTTTTCCTAACGATTATATAATCTCAGATTATAACAATAACAAGAGCCCAATCCAGTGGCCAATCAAAAGCCTTAACTACTTTGTGAACTACCTCAGTGCGCTATTACGTCATATGTAAAAACTTCACAAACGATAAGATTTCCACAAAATTTATTAAACACACGACATGTTTCGCTAACACAGTAGCTTCGTCAGGTGATATACTGGTACAATGAACTAAACTAACGTTGGCTAATTGCAGCATATAATAGTATGATACACAGGCTAGTGAATGTCCCTCTTTCGGAAGTAAATTTCAATAAAGAACTCAATATCATAAAACAGATTGCTGTCAACAACGGATACAACGTTAATTTGATAGACAGTATTCTTTCTAAAAAACTTCATCATAAACCTATTCAAGAAGTTTATCCTACCATCAAGAATAATAATCAAAATTATATAGAACTCTAACCTATTTCGGATCATCAACTGAGAAATTAGCTTCATTTCTACATAAACAGGACTTAAAAGTGGCAAAACTTCTAAATTCGAAAAATCAGGGGTATGCAAACTCAAATGTGGATCTTGTCCTAAGGTATATATCGGTCAGACAGGTCGTACGTTTAATCAGCGCATTCATTAACAGAAGATGAATTTTATGAAAAAGAAAACAAATTCAACATACGCC